TCGTCACTGCGTATCCACGTATCCGCGTATCCACTAAAAAACATAGCTTCAACTATCTTTCTTTATATAGGTAATAGTCCTCTTATCTTATGCCTCGTTCTTTAAACTCGTCACTGCGTATCCACGTATCCGCGTATCCACTAGCTTCAACTAACTTTCTTTATATAGGTAATGGTCCTTTTATCTTATGCCTCGTTCTTTAAACTCGTCACTGCGTATCCACGTATCCGCGTATCCACTAAAAAACATAGCTTCAACTAACTTTCTTTATATAGGTAATGGTCCTCTTATCTTATGCCTCGTTCTTTAAACTCGTCACTGCGTATCCACGTATCCGCGTATCCACTAAAAAACATAGCTTCAACTATCTTTCTTTATATAGGTAATAGTCCTCTTATCTTATGCCTCGTTCTTTAAACTCGTCACTGCGTATCCACGTATCAGCGTATCCACTAAAAAACATAGCTTCAACTAACTTTCTTTATATAGGTACTAGTCCTCTTATCTTATGCCTCGTTCTTTAAACTCGTCACTGCGTATCCACGTATCCGCGTATCTACTAAAAAACATAGCTTCAACTAACTTTCTTTATATAGGTACTAGTCCTCTTATCTTATGCCTCGTTCTTTAAACTCGTCACTGCGTATCCACGTATCCGCGTATCCACTAAAAACATAGCTTCAACTAACTTTCTTTATATAGGTACTAGTCCTCTTATCTTATGCCTCGTTCTTTAAACTCGTCACTGCGTATCCACGTATCCGCGTATCCACTAAAAACATAGCTTCAACTATCTTTCTTTATATAGGTAATAGTCCTCTTATCTTATGCCTCGTTCTTTAAACTCGTCACTGCGTATCCACGTATCCGCGTATCCACTAAAAACATAGCTTCAACTAACTTTCTTTATATAGGTAATAGTCCTCTTATCTTATGCCTCGTTCTTTAAACTCGTCACTGCGTATCCACGTATCCGCGTATCCACTAAAAACATAGCTTCAACTATCTTTCTTTATAGGTAATAGTCCTCTTATCTTATGCCTCGTTCTTTAAACTCGTCACTGCGTATCCACGTATCCGCGTATCCACTAAAAAACATAGCTTCAACTATCTTTCTTTATATAGGTAATAGTCCTCTTATTTTATGCCTCGTTCTTTAAACTCGTCACTGCGTATCCACGTATCCGCGTATCCACTAAAAAACATAGCTTCAACTAACTTTCTTTATATAGGTACTAGACCTCTTATCTTATGCCTCGTTCTTTAAACTCGTCACTGCATATCCACGTATCCGCGTATCCACTAAAAACATAGCTTCAACTAACTTTCTTTATATAGGTACTAGTCCTCTTATCTTATGCCTCGTTCTTTAAACTCGTCACTGCGTATCCACGTATCCGCGTATCCACTAAAAACATAGCTTCAACTAACTTTCTTTATATAGGTACTAGTCCTCTTATCTTATGCCTCGTTCTTTAAACTCGTCACTGCATATCCACGTATCCGCGTATCCACTAAAAACATAGCTTCAACTAACTTTCTTTATATAGGTACTAGTCCTCTTATCTTATGCCTCGTTCTTTAAACTCGTCACTGCGTATCCACGTATCCGCGTATCCACTAAAAAACATAGCTTCAACTAACTTTCTTTATATAGGTACTAGTCCTCTTATTTTATGCCTCGTTCTTTAAACTAGTCACTGCGTATCCACGTATCCGCGTATCCACTAAACAACATAGCTTCAACTAACTTTCTTTATATAGGTACTACTCCTCTTATCTTATGCCTCGCTCTTTAAACTCGTCACTGCGTATCCACGTATCCGCGTATCCACTAAAAAACGTAGCTTCAACTAACTTTCTTTATATAGGTAATAGTCCTCTTATCTTATGCCTCGTTCTTTAAACTCGTCACTGCGTATCCACGTATCCGCAGAATTAAAAGGGCGCCTTTAGAAATTGGACGGGTATTCTATAATTGCTCCTATCAATTTGTAAAAGATTTCCATAAATTCCATCTGATTGTAGTTTAGTTTCTATCATGCTTATAAAAATTACTATGAAACGATCAAACATTCAATTCAGACAGTGAGCTTGACTATGTTAGTTCAGTTGGCTATCAGTCGAAATCCGTCAATCCAATCACAATAAAACAAAAATTCAAATGAACCAATTGTAAGATAGCAATTGGACTCCCTTATACGTCCGGCCACCCCTATTATCAGTCAACACCATTCCCAATGAACTCTTCAACAACTGGAAGGCTAACCATTGAGTTCTATAATAACTGGAGGAAACGTCAACAAAATTAGTATAAATTATTAGCGCGCGGCCGCGTGGTCAAAAGGCGGATTTTGGTGGTCAAAGTCAGCGGAGAGACGCGGGCTCATGAAATAAAATTTTTGTCGCCCACCCTGATTCGACCACCACGATTGCGAGTATAGAAAGTATCAAAACTATTTATTTTCCTAACATAAACACTTTTAAAACTTTATTTATTAAACTGCCAACTTTTGTGGTTTGCGGATGCTGAAATAGCGACAGAAAAGGGAACATTTCTTGACTCCGGTAAGTAGCACAGTATTAGTTTTACTATTTTGTTTTTAACACGATACTTGAAGAGTGTTTTTACTACTAAGTTTTAATTTAAAGTTATTTTGGTCCAGTCTTGTTTGTTCTTCACTTAATCGCTCGCCAGACGTGGCGAAGCTGTCAATTTTTATCGAGTTTTGCATCCATCTTGTATCATGATCAAGGCATCAAGCTAAACTCTCCTGATTTGAATTGAGTTTACCTCCCAAAAATGGGGCATAATTTGTTCATGTTTTTTTTTGAAAAGATGAAGGGAAGGTTGTGTTGAAATTGAATGCAGTGCCATGCAAAATTAATGAGAACTATGGTATATGTTGTATAATAAAAATAACTATTAAACTGTTTGCCTGCTCAATTTGACTGACTGTATAGTGTAGACAATTATAATGGGATTGGTAAGTTGGATTTATGCAAACAGTATTAAAGTACTACTTAGCGTTTCTGTAAATGAAGTATTTATTGTTATAGTAAACAGGTTACTACTTCAAAACCAAGATAAAAGTAGTGTGTTGAATAATGTGCTAAGATTTGTTTCTACCTTGAAATTTTTGTTCAACAGTAGCTTATGATTATATCATTAATATGCATGAAAAATTAAACATATTATTGTCTCATCTCATCAAATCCATACTTGGTATGATTCCAGGTGATCCACAAATTCACATCGGATGCATTGGTTACAATGAAGTTGAATGTAGAAGAAGCAAAAATAGATGGCAAAGAAATTCTTTGTGTCTTATGAAGAATTAGTAGAAATCAATAAAAAGAATTCTCTAAACAAATTGTAAACAAATTTAAATTTGCTCATGGTCAAGCAACCTAGTCAAAGAAGCAAAGTCTGTCTTCAACATGTGACCTTTCCAATTATTTAGTTTCTTTGTACAAAATACTATTTTCGAGAAACTTGATTTGTAAGTCCTTCATTAATATTTTTTTACCAAGAGATAAAAGGAACTAATTCAAAGGCTTGATGTAAAATACAAAGATTTACCAAGTTGTTTATCATTTAATTCCCAAATGTTAGTTTGTACATATAAATAATTAGTATTGGTAGCTGTAAGTTGTTTAAGCAAAATAGAAGAGTAGTAGTGCTCGAAGGGGTTAGCATTTTTGAAAAATTATGTCTTGTTCATGACATATATTACAATTTCAAAAAACTGTAAGTAATGCACAATAATATCTATAGAACTTGATAAATTTCTTCACCTACACTGTCAAATAACTATTTTGCCTTCATGCAGCAATAGACAGTGTTTTTGTCAGAGAAACCAATGCACTTTAGTTTCCAAGTTTGTAACTTCAATGGAAAATTAATGTATTCTGTTCAGTAATAGATCCAAGATTCTGCCAAGCTGTTTACAAAATACAAATTACCAAGCAACAGTGTCATGGTGTTTTGAATTTTTTTCTTTTTTGTAGCTCTTCTAGTTCAACATACTTTCTTTATGAGTTTTCAGTAGATTTATCAGGTAATGACAATACACTTATGATACTTATCCATGGTAAACTTTCAGTTGACTTATGTCGTAGGACTGAAGCAAACATTTTCTCGCTTCCTTAGGAGCATTTTTACACAGATTTATCCATTTGAAGCAAGAAAAATAGGTGCACCAAACTGTCTACAAACAGTCAAACACACAAAAGCATGAAATAATGTATAAGTTTGACGAGATTGACAGGTCTAGTAAAGAATGCCGTTTGATTTTCACTTTTAAAAGGCTAAAATGTCATAAAATAACTTAAATGTTACATCCAAAATATGCGTTTCTCTACCGTCGATCTTCTTTATTTTGATGTGTGCCTGTACTGTGTTTTTTACGCAATGCTGAAGCATTATTTTCACATGATATGCTGTCGGTATCGTAATTATTTTTTTTTCTCACTTGTTTTCGTTCATACAAACAGTATTAGAAATCAGGAGGGAGTGAATATTGAAAAAAATTTTTAAAGTGGAAGTTTTGACCTTCAAAATCCGCCATTACCGCCATGTTTTTGACCACGGGGTCCAGGCCCCTTTGCCCCTCCAGGTTTTATAGAGCTCAATGAGGCTAACTTGGACGCCATCTTTGAAGCCTGCATGAGCACCGCCATTGAGGGTACGGAAGCGAAATACATCACTTCGAAATTGCCGGATTTTTTGCAAAAAACAGTGGTCTTCGAGCCAGCTTAATGTCTAAAAACCTTAAACAATGTTTGGACTTTAATATAAAACAAGTTTCAACGACATTTGTACATGTTTAAGCTTCTTTTTAGAAGGATGAAAAGCGAACTTTGTTTTGGCACGTGAAAACATGCCTTATAACTTGAATACAAAACTGACACCTCTCGTTTTTTTTCATTAAAAGGATGTAACACACACTTGTCTATCCTTAAAATATTGTTTGAATCTTTAAAAATGAAGCTGTCAGGGCAAAAAACGCTGTTTTTCGGTAATTTTTGTGTTTCCGAGCAAAATTAGCTCGCCCCAGTCCTTTTTGAAAGTTTAGAGCATAAACAAAAAGAAAAACACTTTGCAAAATATTTCAAAAAGTTAGCAAAAAAATATTTTGAGTTAGTTTTAAAAAAAACTGTCATGCCATATTATTGTGTTATCATTAATACAGGGTCAATACTCACTTAAAAAAAAAGACAAAAACACAATTGACACTCCATATTCATAACTTTTGAAACACTTAAGTAAAAATTGTAATACAAGTATGAAAACGATTATTAGTCTAATATTATAGAATCATATATTTTCACAAATATGACCAAACATTTTAAACACACATCCTAAAATTTAATATATTACATATACATTTATCATCATCTGTATTACAAGAAAAAACTAATTTTACAATCAATATGATATACTATAAAATTTTGATACAGGATATAGCTTTGCTTGCTTTATAATCATTTTAAAACCCTGTTTAAAACCACTGAAGATGAGGGTTGCTTTTTAGCATTTATGTAGAGCAGGTTATATTAGCAATACTTGTCATAGTGTACACTTGGCTATTTATTTATAAGCATGAAGTTGCTGATAAAATGCTCAATACACAAATATGAATGCATGTCAAATCTTCCACCAGTTCTTAAGAAGTGGGAGAAGTAAATGACAAGAACCAACAATCACCCACAGTTCAAAATTTCAAATCATCACTTTCACACATTACAAAAAGAGCATGTGAAATTCTTACAAAGCAAGTCTAACTTTGAAAGCAATAAAATTGTTATGAAACATGTTATATTAAGTGGATTGTGTGTATTTTGCACAGCATTCAAAGATACAGACTACCTGTTATCAGTTTTATCATAAATTTTTGGTCTTTCGACGACGTATGAGAAATTCATATTTCGAAGTGTGTTCTCCCTTTTATGTTTTATATAATACAGCGTTACGTATACAAAACATGTCTTGAAACGTCCACAATGCATCTTAACACAGTAATAACCAAATTTTGCTAACGATTTTGAAAAAAATAAAGCATTTAGGCTAGCATTCTATTCCCAAGTTAGCAGTTTTTGCAAAACAATCCGCCACGCAAATAAAACAGTCCACGCGAGATACACGCGAAGCGGCAAATCAGCTTCTATTTGGCATCAAACAAGTCTAGGTTTGTTTATAATGAGTTAGCCTTCCAGTTGTTGTAGAGTTCATTGACCATTCCAGACTGTCCACTGATCTGGCCATTAACCAATAAAATAAGCGTTTTTGGCGTTCATAGACTCCTTTATCCGTCGAACCAGTCAAGCCACCCCGCTTATCAGTCGGTTATTCCTGGTCAATTAAAATTCAACTGATCTGGTTACCAACGAGATATTCATTGCATTAATCATTAGTTTTCAATAATCAATAAAGCTGGATTTTTATCACGAAGTAGATGCGATAATAAAGTAAGAATAATCAATGAATTTTTAATTAATATGAATAGGTAATTTTTGAATTTCAAACAGCAGTCGCGCTACGGATTTGACATACTCTAGATCCGCCCCTGCAAATGACGTGAGGCGCATATGTATTTCTTGCGAATTTAGAGTGTTTTTGAAAGTTGATGCGAAATTTTATCATCTGCAATATGATAAAAGTAGTCATTCATGTTGCGTACTCATGTCTGTCCGTTACATAAATTACAAGCAAATTTATCGACTGAAACTTTGCTAAAATTAAAGTTAGACTCAAAAGCAATGTTTTCACGAAGCTTAATAATTATGAGAGTGTGTAATTCCAAACTAATGGTTATTGCTAGCAGGACTGCTCATTATAGCCAGACGGACTAAATTAAAGGAAATAGGAATTAAAATAAAATGGGGAAAAAACAAAAGGTAACTTGAGCTTATTTCGACAGTACAATTTCAACTACGACAATGACTAAGGACTGTTATTTTTAATGAGGAAATGCTGGGAATAAGGCAATTCAGCGATTCAGCTTGCGATAAAAATTATTTATACATACGATAACTTTGTATTTAAATTAAATAAGGGCGAAATGAATTTATAATTTTCTCACAATTATGCATGACATTGAATTATTCACTTGTGAGCGCATGTACGTCTTTTCCTATGCGAAGAATAATCTTGGTTTGCAAGTTACGTGATAGACGCCATGTTGGATGACAGTGACAAAACATATTTCTTATTTACAATGTAAATTTAACCGACATTGCATAAACTCCATTTATTTATTCCCAGGAGATAGTTTGCATACCAATAAGGGAGGCACAGTACGTAAGCATTCTTTAAATGATGTTCATTTACGCACTTTCTTCCTAAATGTCCTACCTAGCCAAGAACTTCCTCTTTGTTATGAGAGATACACATGCGCATAGTTATGCACATGACACAAAATTTGCATTTTTCCAGATTATAAAAAACAGCAATCGGAGAAAAAAACTATTATAAAGGATTCAAAGCACTAAGACGTTTCTCTAAAAAAAGTTGCCGAAAAACAGATACAAAACTGAGATTGTAAGGTAAGGTTTAAATCGAAATTTTTTATTGTTAATGAAAGTGAAGAAACGAAGCTTTTAAATTGAATTGTGCTTAGATAGAGATGCCTTTGTGCAGCGATGCAGAAGCATTTATGTATTACAACGCATCTTCGAAATGAATAAAGAGAGACCTCGTTATTTTTATGTCATTTTAGTACTCAATCGCGTTGTTTTAAATTAACAACAGCAACTTGTTTCAGCATCACTTGTTTCAAAATTTTGACTGATGCCATATGTTTTAACGAATACTCAATAATTTAAGGTTTTTTTGGCACCTTTCTCATTAATGAATTTTTCTTTTGTCCAACTTGACAGAGAGGTGAAAAAATAGCATCAATTTCGCTTTTATGACAAACAATTTGAAAAATATAGCTAAACACATCAACGTGAATGATTTGTCAAAATTTTTGATAGAAATCGCTAGTTCGAGACTTGAATTACAGGAGCGGGTCTAGCGTTTGTCAAAATAAATTATAGCTCCTAAATTTTAAATTCAAAGTACTTTCATAAAACCTCTATTGGTTTTCAATTTCTAAAGAATATAATTTCAATATATTCTTCAAGCTAACAATCTTTTAGAAAAATTAGCGAATGCTTACGAAAACCCTCAGCTTTCATATCGCGGGTAAATTTAGGTTTTTTATTGTTGTATTGGAATTTAGTTACAATCCTCATCAATTATGCATAGATGTTGGCTTAAATTCATCCAAATATGAATAATTGAGGAAGGTTATAAAATATTGCAATTAAAAGAAAAATACAATGGATGCTTATCGTTCGTACAGTCTGGCCAAATTTCGAAAAACATTGTTAGCTTGGACAGCATGTGTCATATTTTAACCCTATACGTGTTCCGATTGCTTTTCAACTTGGTAATTTTCGTGTGAAAGCTAATTGAAAAGTGCTTCTCCAGGTATCAAAATTCTCACTCAAAAATTCTCACACTGACTTAAAAAAATTTAACGTTAGATGACTCATCATGGGAAACACTTTTGTAAAAATACCATTTTTATGATAATAATCAGTTTTGTTGTAACCATGTAAAGTTTTTTGATGACCATGATGAGTTTTCAGATGACCATGACGAGTTTTCCGTTGACCATGACGAGTTTTCTCTTGACCAGTTGTGCGCCAATATCCTCCGTTGCAAAATCGAAGAGCAACCTTGTACGTTCCATCCTGATTTCTATGGCATGTTTCATAGATATCATCATTTGTTTTCTGTAAGATTTTATCACAATTTTATTTTATCACTCTCCATTAATTACACTAGCATATAATTTTAAGGTATTTATTACAATTAATACGGGTTTTTCCCCATTTCAATTCTGACCTAAACCCCAGGCTCGGCTCAAGAATTTGCCATCTGAGAAACTACGACTAATAATGTCAACCATACATGTTTACGTGTTTCTGAAATTAGTTTTCTCTATAAAGATTAACAAGTTTTATTGTTTCTTAAATCTGCCATCGAACTTAGACTTGCTCAGTCTGCAAAGTTGTTTAGCTGTAAAACTTATAATTTTTAAGCTTACAATGTTGCTCGGCTATTAGCATTTTACCTCACATAAATGGTGAACAAAATGACAAAAAGAGAATCTGCTAATACAATAATCAATACTATTTTCATTATTATAAACAAATGTACAAAACGCAATGAATTTTCAAACTGGAGAAATGAGGAAGAAAACGCATGGTTTCACTTCAGTTTGCGTGATTTTCAACTCATTGGAGATTTGAAAAAATGAAATAAAAACATGACATAATATTCATGATTATGGGGTCGCTTGAATAAAAAGAAATTGGGCAGTGTAGTATGACGAGTAAGTTTATTTGCCCAGTAATTTGACTGATTCATCTGTGTTTGTATTCATCTGAACTTGAAATTGAAGCCAAGAGCAATTCGAAACGTCTTTCTTTTAAATTGTTTTCTATTATATTATTTGAATCTACATGAATTAAAAAGTAATAAAAATGCTAACTTTCGTGGTGTATAGCTCCGATCTTTTATTACAAATAAAACTCTCTGATAACTCTCTAATAACGATCTCTGCAACATCTTTTCATTAAGAAAATTGTCAAAAATATAAAATACAGGGACTTTCTAAAAGGGAGGAACGGAATGAGGAAGAACTTTTTTGAAGGACCACACGTGGTTTCACTTTGATTTGCGTGATTTATGATAAATTACTTATGATCCTGTGGTCACTTGAATAAAAAAACACGACACGAAATTGAACTGTGTATTATGACGAGAAAACTTATTTGCCTAGCTGTTTGAATTATTTGTTTTTGTCTTTATCATAGCTTGAATCAACTTTGAAAGGTCTTTCTTTACAAATTTTTTTTGCGATTATGTTTACCTAATTTCAAATATCTATATAGAAAATTCTCCATAATGAAAAAAAACACCAATAATGAAAAATTTTTCAATGTTCATTGCATGAATTAAAATGTAAACAAAATACAAACGTCTTTCGGATATATGATCTGTTACCTACAATTAAACTTGTTTGTAATTTTAATCTGATGCTGCAATATCATTTTAAGAAAAACACAAGGTTTCACTTTTATTTGCATCTTGCATTAGTCGCATTTTGACTTTTGGTTGAATTTGCCTTAGTTTAGAAATTTTTTGTCGTCACTTCCAAAAGTTTAATCTACATATATATATAAAATACTTACCTCATTGAATTGTGCTTTTACAGAAATCAACTGAAAAAATAATGAAATTAAGATCAATGGCAGTTTCATTCTTTGACTTGTTATGAAAAGTTTTTTCTCTCCCCTTCTCTTCTCGAAAAAGATGTCGAGCTTGTTTGATGTCCAAAAGATATTGATGTTCCTTGATAGACGTCCTTCTTTCAATTAGTTTTAACCAGTGGTTTTAATGGTTTTGACCCTTGTGAGTACAGCGGGCTCAAAGCGGATGTAATCAATGACAACGGAAGTGAACAATAAATCTAAAAGGAAATTTGCTATATTAATTTTTATTATTTCAAAAAAGTCGTCGAAATCGTTCTCAAATTACGTGCAATTATACAAGTTGTATATAAAGCACACTATTTTGAAATGGCTCAATAGTTTTAATTATCTCTCAATTCTACCTAAGTAGAATTTGTTGCAGCCAAGGCAGTTATTAATACATAATATTGAAACGTGAAAGGGGTGAGGTTTTATCTTTGTTGGAGTAGAGAAAATCCATCTTTTAGTGTCAATATCTTGATGTGTGAGTTACGTCTTGGCCGCCATGTTGGATGATTTTTTCAACAAATTTATTTGCAAAAGATTTAAGGATTTACTAACAAATACAGTAATGTTAACAATGCAAATGTTGTCCAACATGCCAAAAATTCCATTGACCACTGCATGTTCCTTCACTCCCAGAGTAGGGGTTGCGCACCAATTATGAGAAATGTGAAGCAAGTTAAGACGAGCCTACAGTTGACGATCGTTTCTACCACAGACACAGTAGACTCAGCCAATCCGAACGTTGAAACCATTGAGTTCTATAATAACTGGAGCGGCTATCTCAAGCGCGGCCTTAGATATCTGATGTTGTAAAAAACATGGCGGATTTCGTCCGTTGCCGCTGAGATTTACCGAAATTGACCGCTTTTCCGAAAATTTCACAATTTCCCACTCCCTCCTGAAGAAAGAGTGAGGAAAATGTATGTGTGTATTTGGGATTCGGCTAGCAATTTTTTGATGAAAATCACGATAAAAACCTACAATTCGTAACAGCGAGTCAACTGTGCTTGCTTTCCAGTCATCGGCTCTTGCGAGGAAAGCTATTAACTATAAACTATGTACGAAAGAACTCTTTGAACGTTTTTAAACATCGTGTCTAATGTACATGTGCACGATGTGGACGATGTGGTCTCTTTTCAAGGTAAGGAGAAAGTCTTGAGCCATGTCCAGCCGACAATTTAAAAAAAGATGGTAAAAAACAAATTCTGAAGAAACGAGATATCTCGAGATGAAAAAAATGTGAATGAAAACAAAACGCGAAGTGAACTGTAAAATTTCGATTTATTTCAAAGTCATCCTCAGACAGAATGATAATCCAAACAATGCATACACATATATATTTACAATGCATGAATTAAGTAACGAAAGTCAAGCAATAGAAATTAAATAGTTTGATATTTACGAATGTGGAGTTGGAAGTGCTGTCATATTTTAAAAGGATGAATTGAAACAAGAGACCAGACTGGTGGAATGAGTGTATTGTAATTTAAGAGAAGAGTTGTAATTCTTTGCTAGCCTTAAGTCCCGTGTTAACAAACCATTTCTTAATATATGTGTATGCATGGTTTGGATTATCATTCTGTCTGTGGATGACTTTGAAATAAATCGAAAATTTACAGTTCACGTCTTGTTTTGATTCACATTTTTACATCTCAAGATGTCTTGTTTCTTCAGAATTTGTTCTTTACTTAACTCTTAAAGAGTACTCTATAGTCATATTTATGTCAATGTGGTAATGTATGTTAGTGCAATCAGACTAAGTTACACAACATATTTGCAATAAGAATTTTCTTTTAATGAAGTTTTGAGAAAAAAAACAATATATAATCTTTTTGTATTTCTGCTAAAGATGACTAAATGACAAAAAAAAAATATTTAAAATATATTTCCTTGTAAGGTTTATTGTACAGTTGCTGCAATTGTTCAGCACGTTTTGACTGGTAGGTTTCCTTCCCTACACTGCTTGGCAACATGGCCCAATCTTTTGCATATATAGCAACGTCGTCCTGTTAAATATTCATAAGAAAGCTGTAGTTCATAAAACTTTTTATTTGTTTGTGTCATTAGCTTAATTCTGTTAACAATAATGCATGCAACTTGAAGTTTTCAACCATCTAATCAAGCTGATGTTTTATCACTAGGTCAATCAAACTTACTTCTTCTCATACGATTAAACTCTATACAAAAAAGTATATAATTGTCAATTAAAATGGTCATGAAAGAAATGTTATTTCATTTTTGTCATTACTTTTCTTGCATTCATTCATTTTGTGGCCTTTGTGGCCACAATTATAGCATCTTCCTTCATTAAAAAACAATGGCAATTATCAGCCAGGCATCAAAGGCAATTAGTACATGTATACACTATACCACACCTTTAAATGAACTTTTTGCTTCGACATTGCTTTCTACATAAACAAATCGTTTGTTAGGTGCTGTTTGATTTGTTATGTGTATGATTAAATTTCAGGTTAAAAGACTCTTGGTGAAAAGACTCTTGGTGAAAAGGCTCAGGTGAAAAGACAAAAGTATCATGTGAGAGCTGATGGGCATATATCATATATGAATGAGAACAGTATTGTATACAAAGCACTGTTTACCTTCTTTATTTTTTTGGTTTTCAGAATTGGAGCCACCTCAAATAGTAGTAGATTTTAGCACATTTTGATGCATTGTTGTATTGTGTAATAAAGCAAAAACAATCATTAAACAGTATAACCATTTTGGCTAAATACACACTTGCATTTTCATTATCTTCCTCTTCAGTTTCCTGACCTGTTTTGAATGCAATTGAACTATTTGAGTGATTTTCAGTTTTCAAAACAAAAACAAATTTTATACACATTTGATACCAGTGTCCATTGCTTTTTCCTCATCTGTATAATCTAGCATCTGGTGTTTTTGTATGCAAAAAACGATAAAGTGTAAATAGATATTTTGCAAGAAGGGATTTAAACCATGTAAATGAATCACTTTTTGTTTACTTCCATGCTGAAAGCTTCATATAAAGCTTTTCAGATCAGAAATTATTAAATTATTGATCTGTACTAACCTCTTTTCATCCATGGACCACAATAGAAAGTTGGCAAATACAATAAAACAAGAAATAAGCAAAGGAAAATTCAGACAAGTTTTAAAAATATTTATAGTATTTAAAAAAAAAAGCGGGAAAAAAATGCAAATGACAAACACCAATGCTGTATTCTGATTGGTTAACAAATCAAACTTTTTTTTTAACTATGAAGAACTAAATATTGCATTGAATTTTAAAGTTTTTTATAGTTTGTAAGAGATGATTCCCATGATAATATACATGTAAATTTAGCGTGCACAAATCGTTAATTGCTGTATCAGTAACGTTGAAACAGGGTGTAAATCCTGGAGAGGGATTGATATGTGGTGGCTCAGCCTCTCCCTTTCAAAAGTTAGCAGTTTTGTCGAGCAAAGCATGTAATTTTGCGGAAATTAAAACGGCAAATATTAACGATGACGTTTGGATCAACTCATAACTAAGTAAAAGCGATTTTGCTGGTATTAACATAAAAATTACACTACGTTTTGTTGGGCAAATCAAATTCTGCAACGTTTCCCTCTCCATTCTCGGGACTCCAGTCACACCCCTGCATTCAAGTAAAATTCTTCTAAATTTTTTCAAGTTATTCGAAGTTTAACCATTGGCTTTTACAAGTCAAGAAACTATATAAACAATGTGAACTCATTGAACTATAAGGTACAAAAATGTTAAAGATAAAATGTTACGCATCATGAACGTTGTTCAAGGACTTCCGCATGCAGATCATCCCGGCAATATTCATAATGTCACCTGTAAGTTAAACACGTGCGTTTAATATTGAGTAACGTTTATTTTTAAAAGAACGTTAACAATTCATTTATCAATTGACAGACTGGTTTAATTTTGAAAAAAGCACTTACTACAACGCTCGATCTGATTGAAAGTGCTATCAATGTTACGACCACAAAATAGTTTTCTTATGTCGTCCAATTGGGCTGTTTTGTTGAGTATTTTTCTCTATAAAAATAGTTCAAAATGAATATTGTGCTATTGTTGTTCTATATTGTACTATGTTGTAGAGGAATACTCACATAGAAGACTTGCATTTCGAATTACTTCTCATTCTTTTTAATTGTTTAGTTACGTAAACTAGCCTCAGCACAACACTTTATCAGTTTATAAGCATGATTATCTGTAACTGTCGACTCTAACACATGCTCATCTAACATGCTAAAAACTTTTTTCTCTACACACACAGATAATACCGTCGCAGCAATTGCACTCGATATGTTTGCTGCTGCATGTGGCAAGCCACCATGGCAGGAATTTACCATCCTCATTACACATTTCTCTGTTTCCTGACACACTTTCAGAAGATCGTCAGTTGGTATTTTTAAACCACCGTTGCTCTTCCATGCCACAAATAGTTCTGGTGCTCTTTCTTTAGATGATGTCAGAGCATCCATACAATCATCACAATGGATCTTCCTTTTCACCATTTTGCGACATACCCAGCAATATACGATATTGCTGCCTCCTTGTAGTCTGAAAGCTGAATGTAGTTTGAGGTGTCGCTGTAATCGTGGTCAGTTTGTTCTGGCCCACGCAGTTCTAGATCGTATCTTCTTGCAGTATTTACATCGGAAATATCTGCCGACATTTGTTCACTCTCACACCGATCTTCTAGTCTACTTAGAATTTCGGTACCATGCTGAGCAACACAATTTCCATGACCTCCTTTAATGTTATGTCGCATCAACAACTGCTTGTACGCTGCTTTGAACTGTCGAGATGTCGGGTTGTTGTTCCAACCTCCTGACGCTCGCACAGCTGAAAAAAACAATTCTAAATGATCTTGACTTGTCTTATAAGTAAGCAAATATTTAAGGGGAGAATTTTCACTTATAACAAGATCCTCAGCAAGCCCTTGCACTGCTTCAATGCACAACAGAAACCCCAAGAATCCTGTTTTCCTCTTATGGGAAAAATCGACTTTCCATCAGCACCCTTCAGATTTAAGACGTATTGCCTTGCTTCATCCAAGAAGGTTTTATCAGCTTGTAATTCGCTTTCCTTATTGGTGCTTTGTAATTTTAGCAATTGGATTCCTGGAATTCAAAACGTCAAACAAGCGATCAAATACTCGAATGAATTTGACTGTTTTATCACACCCTTTAAACTGTGGAAGTTTGAGCTTACCTTCACAGAACTCTAAAGCATCTGCAACACTCGAGCTGAGTGCTTGCACTGCTAAATTACCTTCATTTTCTGTGGCTTCCAGTTTATGTGAGCTTTCTTTAGTTTGTTGGCAAGTCGCAAGCCTTCTGAGGCTTGCAGTTTTTCTAGCTCAACTAGGTATTGCCATCTTACCAAACCATCTTTTTCATCCTTCAGAGTTCTCAATTCAGAAATTGCTCCTCTGACAAGCTTGATCATGTGACAAGGATCTAAGAATGCATAAATTTTCAACATTAAATCAGATGGATGTAAAAATATGCTTGGAAATCATTAAGTGAAAGTTTCACTCCAAGCAACTTCATCATTGCAAGATGTGTGGATGGACCATCACACGTTAAACTTCCAACTTTAACACCAACATCATGCAACTGCATCAAACACTCCTTGGTTAAATTTGCTTTTACTTCTGCAGTGAGGCCATCTACCAAGAAGTAACCAACTGGTACTTTCAAGATGAATCTAGAGCAACAGCCATGTATACCAAAACTTCTGTTGCTTCAGGGAGTGAATCATCGTCAATCCCAGTACCAAGGTCAACATAACCACAAACTTTTTGACCATCCCATTCTACGTGTTTACGGATTGACATTTCATCCAGCATCAATGCACATATGACTTCCTTGCCATCTTTCTTTGATTCTTGAACCTTCACTTTCAAAGCATTCAAGGCATCCTTGGTGAAACCAGGGTCACCATCCACGGAATTATACCAAGATCGAATTACTCTTGGATGAGGTAAGGCTAAATTAAACTTCTCACGAACATAATCATAAGCCTTAGGCGAGTAAAATTTCAAAGTTAGTGCAAAAGCTTGCAATTCTGGGGGGTATTGAGCACCTTTTTTACCCTGAGTGTTTGCCACTAAACGACTCAAAATATCTTCAGGAACCCCAGATAGTGAAGCATTAAGAAGTTCAGCTTGATCAGAGCTGATCATTTTATCATCTTTAAGGCAATCAATGATTGACAATAAATCATTTACCTTCTTTTTCAGTCTACTTTTTTCCATATTAGACACTTTTAACCTCTTTCTATAATACTCTGCCCGGTCTATAACATCTTCCAATTGTCTTTTCAGTCTCCTGGGAGACTTAAGACAATACGAGTGATCATGAGTAGAGAAATGACGACTCACCTTTTCAGTGCTCTTCGTAGATTCAACATCCTTCACCTGTTGAAATAATGTGGGCACAGCACTATCTTCTAGACACACTTTGTTACCTGATATTCTCTTCATGCTATCGGAAAAATGATCTGAGCAAACTCTGCTCCACTTAGTTAGAACTGTGAGAGGCGACCATTTCTTTATACTATTTACCCATTCCAAAAAAAGTGCAGGGTTTTTTTCTTCGTCAGGAAAACTATTTGAAATAGATTAGTAAATTTGTTTCATGCGTTGATTCAACAAATAAATAAACAAATTTGTTGAATTTTTTAAAAAACACACAGGAAAACATCAGTGTATGCAGTATTTAAGACAATGTTTTTTCATAAGGCCTAACAGATTTTGGGGCTTTCAATTGTATAAATGCCGATTCAATCTTTCAGGAACAAACAAAATAAGCGAATAACTCACCTGTGAAAAGCGATGTCCTTCGCGTTGTCAATATTACGACATTCTACAATTGAACATCGATTAGGCATTTTTGAAAAAAATATTGTTTTGGCCTTGAAAATATTGTTTATTTATCATACAGCTTGCAATTGCATTTGAAATTTTCAACTGAAGGCGGGAAAATCAATAACACCAATCCGGAGGAGGTCGAGAATATTATTTTTCTGCAAAGCGATCATTTCAGCGGAAATACGTCCGTTGGCCGCCATGTTTTTTACAACAGTTCCCAGTCCACTTAGCCGCTCCAGTTATTATAGAACTCAATGGTTGAAACCCAATAAATTTTTTATATACAATGCTTAATTAAAAAATGATAATTTGAGCAGTTATTATGATTTTTGAATACATTATCAACTCTTTGAATACATTATCAACTCTTTGAATACATTATCAACTCTTTGAATACATTATCAACTCTTTGAATACATTATCAACTCTTTGAATACATTATCAACTCTTAACGGTTCGCTTTCGTTATTCCCCCTAAATACTTGATGAAATCTCTCCTGTCTGAGAGTATAGCCGTTTCCTTGTTGCTGTTTTTTGTTTGTGTCTGTATTCCCAATAATTCGATTGAAAACAATGTTAAAACGCTTGGAAATCAAGAGCAAGATTCCACCATACTACCCTAATACTTTCACGTTTTGTGTCACATTAAAAATTTCTTGAAAGCATAGAAAGTTATCTGTAAAGGCTTTTAGCAAATCACAGTCGAGATTGAGCCAACATTTTATAATAAGAACACTTTATTGTACTACTATAAGTCTATAACACTACAGCAAAAGGTTACCATGAATGTAATGCCCAATTTTTCCATTGATTTAGCATCTTTTTAGAATCCATGCACAGATCATTTACGTTGGTTACGTGCATGTGCATTCTTCGCGCGTGGAAAACGACAGCACGTGGGAAAAAAGATGGAGGTCAAAGAAGAAAGTCTTCGTTCTTTTAATTTGTTGATTAAAAACGTGGAGAAAAATGTCGAACACTTTATAACTCACGATGAAAATCAATGTTCGGAAATTCTTTCTGGCCTACGCGAAATTTACTACCTCACTAAAAAGGAGGAAGCTGTTTGTGGGCGAAGTATCAAAGGATGTCCTTTCGAGAGACTACAACTTGATGATACGAATTTCGATGTAGAAATAATATGGCAGCAAATACAGCTTCAAAATGAGTGCCTTTTACCTAAGTTGAGTGTAGAAGTTAAGACTTTGACAAATGGAACTGTATTTTTGAGGAAAAATATGAAAATTTTAGCGGCCGATGTAAGAACAAATAAAATGGAAAGTGATTCTCAAATATTGGCTCAAAGTGATTCTGAGAAGGGTGGATCCAAATCAACTTTGGAGAAACAGCAGGAAAAGGTAAAACTTTATGTAAATCATTGTATATATAAAATGCATATGACTTCATTTTGTGTTTCTATTGATTCTGATAGATCTCAAAAAGTTGTTTGAGAATTTGTAAATTTTTTTTGGGTAAAATGCAGATTTACAAAGTTACAACGGCTCAAATACAGTTTTGGCAAAAAAAAAAGGAGCAAACACTGCAGGACTGAAACCCAGGACTACATCCGAGGAAATTATTTCAGTCAATTTTACAATATGCCTTTACTGTACTTGCGTGGTGTTTTCATTGAGTATTCATGGAAAATTTATGACTCTCTTACAAAATAGTCAGAAAGCATCTTCGATTATAATTGTATAATAAAACTTTTATTGAATTTGGTTTTTGCATGTTATCAAAACTATTTGGAGCTTGATCAACGTTATCTGCCTCAGCTTTGCTTTGACCCAGGTCTGAATAGTCATGCTCGACCTCATTTAATATTTGTTAAATATGCCTACTGCCATGGCAATTGGGATTAGTGTTTAGTGGAGCACACTTCCGAAAATTTCTCAATCATATTGAAATAGAATTTAAAATCCCATATGATGTGGTCAGAGTTAGCTAACAAAATCTAATGCAAACTTGTCCACCTCCACCCACCCCCATCCCCTTACAAGACTATCTTAGATGCAAACTATTTCACCGCCACCCACCCCCACCCCCCTACAAAACCATCTTAGATCACTGCTTGAAGGTGCAAAGAAATTTTGACGAGATTTATTAGTTGCTTTGTTGAAACATTGCTGCAATGGTATTGTTAAGGTGAAAAAGCAGATTGCGGCATTGGAACAAAGTAATATTGCGACAAAAAGTTGGCAACTCTCAGGAGAGACATCGCATCTGTACGACCGCAAAATAGTCTGCTGGAGGAAGTGTTGCAGTTTGATCACACTACAGCTCCTGGTTAGTGAATAATAGATCTATGGAAACTAAATATCTAAAATTTTTCATGTTGCCCTCTTTGCTATTTAAAGGCTGAAACACACTAGGCAGTCGCTTTATTTGCGCATCTAAAACTACCGCTCTGCGTGGTTACTAAGCTGGTAGCGTAGTCGCATCAGCTAGTCGCTTTGAAATTCAACATGTTGATTATACAAAAAACAAAAAAGATTAAACAAAAAAGATTGTAGCATAATGCTTTATCCAACAACTACAAACAATAACGACCATATCCGACAACATTTGAAGAATAACCTTCCATTCTTCTTCCTTGTAAACAAGACAAATCTACTCAAAAGCAGAGAGCCTTACGCTACAAGTCCTGGGCTTGTGGCCGGTATAGCAGAGTAAAAAGGTGAAAGGTTTATTATAGATTAATCAACTGAATATTCCTGCTCATTTTGTTTGGAAGCATGTTAAACAGTTCATATGGACTAAGCTCGAATTCCATATTAAATATACAGTAACATAATCTGGTGTTAATGTTAGACAATACATCATTGCCCTTCAGTGAAAGCATCCCGCTTTTCACTGGAAAAGAATGAATCTAATATCGTTGTTAAACATACTGTAGATTGTCACTAGCATCCCGCTTGCCGACATGAATGAGTATGATTATAAGGTTAAATAGTTGGAATGTTACGTATTAAACAAAAAAAATGGTAGCATAATGCTTTATCCATTAGTGGAAGGTTAATTTTTCAAATGCAGTTGAATAAGGTCGTTATTGTTTATAGTTGTTGAATAAAGCATTATGCTACCATTTTATGTAGGTAGAGGACAAAATAGGTGAATTTACACTGGAATCATTCAATTTTTATAAGTATTATCGAATAGGGACGATAGGAGCTACAAACTGAAACTTATTAACCTCAATGCACAGAATAAGATTGTCCACGATATATGCATAATGGGCTATGATCATATTGGCGTGTTTTAACTGGCTTGTTCTCTTTTGTCCACATAGAAGTTTGTACTAAGTAAATATTCTTGTATTAGTAGCTATAATATAGGCCAAAATAAAAGCTTAAGTGATGTCTGTGTCTGTAACAAACAGAAATCTCTGCCATGTTCAATAGACGCGATGCTAGCTCACATGTTTGTTTCTGGCGTTCAACCTACTGACGCGTGCGCATTAATTCGCTTTGGACGCGCGACTGAAGCGACTGCTTAGTGTGTTTCAGGCTTAAGAAATGGAAACATTTTCGTGTTTCTTTTGAGTTTCAGTAACACATGGAAAGTTTAGGAGAAACTAAAAGTGTGTTTATGAGCAATTTTGATATTTTCCCAAACTTTCACTAATGTTTCTATAACTCAAAAGGAACAAGTAAATAAGTTTTCTATTTCGTTTATAAAATAGACTATTAGAAAAATAAATTTGTTGATTTTATTTACATATTACGTATGTAAATATGTAAATGTGCAAACCTGCGAGACTGCGTGTTTCTATAGTTATAGAAACACGGATTTCTTGACCATTTAATGACGCCTGTGTTTTTAAAAAGCTATTTCAAATTCGGCTCGCAAATTTAAATTTTTCAACACGAAGTCTTACCTCTTCTCTCTTTTACCTTTTGTTTTTTTAATTTTGAATCAACTTGTTAAATTGATATGTACGTACGTAAGCAAGCCTCTGTAGCGTACACTACTGACTAGTGTGTATCTTGTGCCATTTTAAAAGTGCTTACTTAAAGTGTATTCTCATTATATAGCTCCTGTTATAACAGTAGAGAGAAGCAAAAATTTAGAAAATATTATCATCGGGAGAATTAAAGATAACGTAAGTTGTTCAAGGAATTCTTTGATGATTATCTTTTGGTATATCCAAGGAGGTATTTGATATTGACGAAATTCTCCGTTAATGAATGACGCTATCCCGCATCACGTTATTCCTTCTGGGTCACACTTTCCAGTGTTAGTCACGTTATCCTGTATTGGTCACGCTAACCGTCCTATGTCACGCTATCCTGTATTGGTCACGCTAACCGTCCTAGGTCACGCTTTCCTGTATTGGTCATGCTACACTACGTTGGTCACGCTTCCCTGCTTTGATCATACTATCCAACATTGTTCACTCTACACTACTTTGGTCACGCTATCCTTCATTGGTAACGCTGTCCTGCATTGGTCATGCTATCTTGCCTAGGTCACGCTATCTTGTCTAGGTCACGCTATCCTGCATTGGTCACACTATCCTGCATTAGTCATGCTATCTTGCCTAGGTCACGCTATCTTGCCTAGGTCACGCTATCTTGTCTAGGTCAAGCTATACTGCATTGGTCACTCTAACGTGCATTGGTCACGCTTTTCATTTTGGTCACGCTATCTTGCTTTAGTCGCACTAACGTGCATTGGTCACGCTTTCGTTTGGGTCACGCTATCTTGCTTTAGTCACACTAACGTGCATTGGTCACGCTTTTCATTTAGGTCACGCTATCTTGCTTTAGTCACACTAACGTGCATTGGTCACGCTTTTCATTTAGGTCACGCTATCTTGCTTTAGTCACACTAACGTGCATTGGTCACGCTATCCTGCATAAGTGACGCTATCCTGCATTGGTCACGCTATCCTGCATTGGTTACGCTATCCTGCATTGGTAACGCTATCCTGCATTGGTTACACTATTCTGCATTGGTAACGCTTTTCATTTGGGTCACGCTATCCTGCATTGTTCACGTTTTCATTTGGGTCACGCTATTTTGCTTTAAGTCTGGTCTTCATTGGCGACATAAGCTTAGCACAAGATTATTAAAACAAGATTATCTTGTTTTATAGCGCCATCGTGCATGGGTCCTTTTATTTCCTCGGTATCACATGCTATCATACGTGATCTCTTCCATAGGCATGGGATGACGTGGAGCGAAAAGAAAAGCCAGTAAAGGAAGTTGAATACAAGAAAGCTCACCCAATAAGTCAAGAGAAAAATTAAATGAGTCTGAGTGAAATATATGAGAGAGAATATCAACAACAACAGGCATGTTTTGACTTAAGAAACGAGCAATTTTTCATAGATTTTCTCATGTGAATCTTGAAAGGTTTTCATAAAGTTTTTTGGAAGATTTGACATGTATTTTTTTAGAATCCAGAGGAAGAAAAGGAAAACAAAGAACATGTTGAAATTAAGAAATTGATGAAATCTCTCTTTTCGAAATTGGATGCTCTAACCAACTTTCATTTTACACCCAAACCGGTGAGGCTTAAACACTTTAAGTACATGTATTTTTACATGTATTGTTACATGTATTCTGCAGCTTGTCTTCTTACATGCATTATTCCATGTATTTTTACATGTATTCTTATATGTATTCTGCAGCTTGTCTTCTTACATGCATTGTTCCATGTATTTTTACATGTATTCTTAAGTCAAGAGAAAAATTAAATGAGTCTGAGTGAAATATATGAGAGAGAATATCAACAACAACAGGCATGTTTTGACTTAAGAAACGAGCAATTTTTCATAGATTTTCTCATGTGAATCTTGAAAGGTTTTCATAAAGTTTTTTGGAAGATTTGACATGTATTTTCTTAGAATCCAGAGGAAGAAAAGGAAAACAAAGAACATGTTGAAATTATGAAATTGATGAAATCTCTCTTTTCGAAATTGATGCTCTAACCAACTTTCATTTTACACCCAAACCGGTGAGGCTTAAACACTTTAAGTACATGTATTCTTACATGTATTTTGCTGCTTGTCTTCTTACATGCATTGTTCCATGTATTTTTAAATGTATTCTTACATGTATTCTTACATGTATTTTACATTATTCTTATATGTATTCTGCAGCTTGCCTTCTTACATGCATTGTTCCATGTATTCATGTATTCTTTATGTCCATGTATTTTTGCATGTCTTCTTACATGTATTCTGCAGCTTGTCTTCTTACATATATTATTCGATGTATTTTTACATGTATTCTTACATGTATTTTGCAGCTTGTCTTCTTACATGCATTATTCCATGTATTTTTACATGTATTCTTACATGTATTCTGCAGCTTGTCTTCTTACATGCATTGTTCCATGTATTTTTGCATGTATTCTTAAATCTTTTGCAAATAAAACTGTTGAAAAAATCATCCAACATGGCGGCCATGACGTAACTCACACATCACGATATTGTTCATGCAATGAACATTGAAAAGATTTTTTATTATTGGTGTATTTGTTTCATTATGGAGAATTTTGTATATAGATATTTGAAATTAGATAAAGACAATCGAAAAAAAGTTTGTAAAGAAAGACCTTTCAAAGTTGATTCAAGCTATGATAAAGACAAAAACAAATGATTCAAACAGCTAGGCAAATGAATTTTCTCGTCATAATACATAGTTCAATTTCGTTTTTTTATTCAAGTGACCACAGGATCATAAATAATTTATCATAAATCACGCAAATCGAAGTGAAACCACGTGTGGTCCTTCAAGAAAGTTCTTCCGCATTCCGTTCCTCCCTTTTAGAAAGTCCCTGTTTTTTTAGATTTTTGACAATTTTCTTAATGAAAAGATGTTGCAGCAGAGATCGTTATTAGACAGTTTTATTTGTAATAAAAGATTTGTAAAAACCTTCCTCAATTATTCATATTTGGATGAATTTAAGCCAACATCTATGCATAATTGATGAGGATTACAACTAAATTCCAATACAACAATAAAAATTCTAAATTTACCTGCGATTTGAAAGCTGAGGGTTTACGTAAGCATTAGCTAATTTTTCTAAAAGTTTGTTAATTTGAATAACATAAGCCATGATTTAACTTATTTTAATTGCTTTTTCACTGTGTTATTTTCGTGCGCAAGTTATTTCAAAAGTGCTTTTCGGTATTACATTATTTACCTTTAATGTTTTACTTTCAGATTAATATTGGAAGTCTAACAAGACAACTACATGTTTACAACAATCACTACGTCCAATCACAAAAACACAAAGCTTATTTATATTTTGCAATGCCAATAGGTAGTTATGAACTCAAAATCCCTAAAAAACTTACGTTTTTTAAAAAACAAAACTATTTCGATTGAATGTTTGTTTGGCAATTTTAAAATATGAGTTATTTTTATCAAATGCTCACACGATGTGAAGATTTTGTTTAACGAGCACAGCAAATTTCTGGGGTCTGGAGAAAATTTAGCAATTTAAAGCCTGACTAATTTCAAGATATTACAAAAAGGTGCAACATGTTTGCAGTGACTCCCATGTTAAGTTAATCCAAATTATTAAGACCCAGTCAACTTTATTTTTCGATTCTACTAGGAGTCATTTGTTGCAATTATGTAAAAATAAACATCACAACATCTTAAGTTTTATAGTTAGAATCTTGCCATGCGAGATCAATGTGAGAAAATAAGCCCCAATGGCCGCAAGCTTTGTAAATGTATAACAATGCGGTGGTTTTAATGAAGTCATAACCATAAAGTAAGATTGCATAAGGCCAAATATTATTTTAATGATAAAACTAAAACATTCTAAATTCCTAATATATTGTTTTTTGTTCCTTTGAAAACAGGGAAGTCTTGCAAAGATAGTTTGAGAAAATATCCATTTTCAATCTCTGAGTCTACTGGATAAACGTCATAAATCAAATGTTTCAAGTATATTGTGACATGGAGACCAAGGAAGGAGGCTGGACCCTAGTTTATAGCTACACTTTTACAAACTACCATAGCTTTACGTCTGGTAGCAATGCTGTAATACCACGACCTAACTGGCCAGCTAGTAGTGCAACCGTCCCAGTTTCAAAAACTCCTCCACAAAGCAAATCATTGTTCGGAGCAACAGATTGAAATCTTTGGAAGGAAATTGGGAACGAATTCATGGTGACGTCAAATAGTAATGATTCGATCGTTTGTGAACCTGGAATTGGAAGTTTGGTCACAAAGAAAAATGGAGATGTATCATGTCAAAATATCAAGAATGTTAGTACTGCATGCAAAAACTTAGCTCCTACAACAATTTCATGGGATTCTTCTAACGGGCCAAGATTAAACAGGAAAAGTCTTTTTTATTATTTTGACGGTAACATTAATGGTTATTGGCCAACACACGAGCACATGTGGCAGCAACTAAGATAATCAAAAGAAAGGTATTTCTGATCCTCAATGAAACATTTATATTCGTTGAAATTAGTACACTGGAAAGAGAACGAATAAATTTTGATTTCGCATTTTTGATTGCTTGCTGACAATGTTAGAAATATTTAAAATATTAATCATTTGCTGAATATAACTAAATACAACACATTTAGTCTTACCTACACTTTAAATTTGCACTCTCAATAAATATGATTACGAACAATTTATCAATGGAACACCACAGTATAGTGAGTTATTTTCAGAAGAGTGAACATTGCAACTCTTAATTATATTATAGTTTGATATTATGTGTATAAGCATGATCCAGAAGCTGACAAGCATGTGCTCATCAATATGATGAACTGTGTAGTAACCAAAATTGTTCACCCTTAATTTATTTGTTCACAGCTAAAAAATCATGAGATATTTTCTTTATCGTTTCCTGCTCTTCCATGTGTCTCCACAGGCGGAAAATGATGCATTCATTTTTACATGTGTGATTATACTTGTTACATTAGAATTTTACGAATGTCACGTGATTGATTAGGCAATCCCTAATTTGATCATATTTTCAAATTTCACATAAGTTACGTATTATATTAAATACTAATCTATCTGCTCATATATTCAAATTTGACTTAAGTCACGTGATTGATTAGGCCATCACTCATCTACTCATATACTCTTGTGTTTACAATGTCACTAAACCCACTATATTGCGTAGCCACCTGCCACATTTACAAACTGTTTTTCAATGTATATATCTTGAAAATATGTGCAACTAAAAATGTAGGTCACTGTATTATCTAATTTAAGTTGAAGAATTATTCATAAAGCTGTGAAAATTCTTAAACTGTTATTAGATAATACAGTGACAAACATAATCTGAAACTTTGTGCATCCGACTGACTTTTATTAGCAATAAACAAGAGCATAAACAAATATTCAGTTGCACAATTTTCAAATGATAAATTCAAAATTATGAATTAGCACGACTGGTCTGAAAAGAAAAGGAAATAGAAACAGAATTTTAGATTTTCTTGTCAAAGATATTTAATTGAAAAATCATTTAAAAGAAATCAACACTTTGAAATCAACTTAAATCACAACTTTCTATACCATAACGCCTAGCATGTAGATTTGGTGCACAATTTGTCATCAAGTAAACAGCACAGCAACATTCAAATGACTCAAGAGCAAATTCAAGTGGCGCAGGAAACCATCCAGACGTAATAAAGAGTTTAAGTTCTACTTATTACACCAATACTAACCAATACGTAATCGATCGTCATTTTTGTTTTCGTTTTTATAGCTAAATTTTTTAAAGTGTCAGGTTATAGACTCAAAAGTAAGGCAATTAAAACAAGCATAGTAAGAGGAACTGACTTTACCTTTAAAGAAGCTTTAATATAACTAACTTCGCATAGTTACAAATGCATAAACCTTTCATATATACATCCAAATAGGAAAAACCATCAAAAAATAATTTTTAATGCAAAACAAGCGGAATTCGGTAGCGGCAATATTCAAAGCATATGTCAATTTATTTCATTGAAAGAAGTACGCATGCGCTTTTCGTCAACTGCTTTTAGTGTAGATATTGAAAGACAAACTAGAGCTCCTTAATTTCAGCCTAGGTAGGAGGAAATCGTTTAGGATTATAGCCCCTTTAACAAATTCTGCCAATCGCAGCACCTGGTTTCCCCAAAAATGTATAAATTACTTATGGAGGGAGAGTTAGTATTTTGGCAGGGGCAGGTGTCCCTTCCCAAGCGAATTCCTATAATAAATATATAAGTACACTACAAAGTACAAACTGCTTTAATAAGACATTAAACGAAATCATAGAAGACTACAATAGAATATAGATTTTCAATGCAATGCTAGGTTTAAATAACTAGAAACTTGAAGTACAGTAAGTTATTCTAAATAAGTTCACGAAAGAAAGAACTTAAATATCATCAAGTGTAAATTTCCTCGTCCATACAAGTTTGTCCACGATTGTCGCCTTCTGTATAGCCTGCCAGATCTTCTCCGTACCAAATTCTGAATTTTTGCCCTCGATGCAGCCATTGACAGCCTGGCGCAGCAAACGTAAGAAACGGCGAGTTCTCTGTGTATCCTTGTAATTCATACCAGTTACCAGTAACTGGCGTGACAAAAGTTGGTGAGGGAAAATGCGTTTGTTTCTCGTGTCTGAAAACAAATCAAAGATCTTAAACATGTTAAGCATGTTAGTTGCGTTTGTTTCTTGCTTTGTTCAAGTGATATTGTCAATTTCTCGAAGATGCAAGGCTAGGAAGGTACAACTAAGTAAAAAGTAAAGTTGAAGTCCTCCGTATACCTTGGCCATAGTTATCCAAAACCTCTATATGCTCAAAAAAAGAATTAAAAATTTGCGGCATAATTCAAAGTTTGCTTACTCTGATATTTTCTCACGCGCTTTTCTTATTAACCCTTAAAAGACACAGATGATATGTTTCTTTACGAATGAATATAAATTTTGAATTTGCGCAATTAATGCTGTAAGAAATTATAAATAGCCTACACATATACATGTTGATTGAATACTTGAAATTCAAAAACTTTCTTTAAAAACAGTGAAAATGCTTTAATAAAAATTGAATATTTCACCTGTGATGATCATGTTGATTGTTTTACGAGAATCCAGACTCAAGACAGCCCAATTCGTGTTCCTCGCATAATGACATCCAATTTTCCAGCTCCAATGTTTTAATTTCATTGCAATGATGAAGGTTGACAGACCCGTGAATGTAAATTCTTTATATTGATTTTTGCTGGAGTTTACACACATTCCTCGCGATCGTATTCCAGCCTGCATGTAAAGAGCAGTAAACTATAATATCAACTGGAATGCCCTCTGCGCCGCCATCTTTGAAACCAATACTGATGCTAGTTTTTCTGCGTTTTTAGAAGTTCCATGATATTGTTTTAACAAATTAACTAAGATGTACATAGAATACAGTAGCACAAATGACCATAATAAGTTTCACCTCACCAAATTGTGTAATATGCCTAAAAACGAAGACAAAAAGGCATCATGGCTGGCTTCAAAAGGGCCTCTAGCCTGGAGTTGAAGTTAACGTTCCAGTTAATATTACAGTTCACTGGTAAAGAGTCGTTGATATAAATGAAACTACTTTCCGTCTAATACCTTTCGAAATAATCATCTATAATTACAATCGTTAATGTGTCAACTACAAATTTTTGATTTATAGAGCTTGCTTTGATGGTAATAAAATTATGATTATTATTTCATATAAAGCTTCATGTGAACGCTCTCAATTTGCTGAGCTTTAAAGTGGTTATGCATGAAACGAAATTTACCATGTAGTGTATTGCACAAAACACTTGAAATGACTTAAGGAAGTAATAAATAGATTTGTATTTTTTTACTATTTGAGATATTTAACTTTGTTTATTATGCAAAAACATCAATGTGACGTCACATATTGCATAATATTTGAAACACATTACAAACGCCAGAACGACATTTTAGTAAATAATTGAGTATAGATGAATATGAGCATAGATGCCAAAGTTTGATATTTCACAATACCTTGTCCACACAATTATCATTTTACAAATCTTAATGACGTCTTCTGATGTCACTGATATTTTTGTATAATTAAACGTTAGATATCCTAAGAAAGAAGTAAAACAAAATATTTCTACTGAGGAAGTCATATTTCTACCGATCTTAGCAATGAAATCACGAAATAATATAATAAAATTTGTTATTTTAGCACTTTAAATTGATATTACGTAGGAATATAGGATAAAACATTCCAAGACACGCCTAGCAACAGCGTGTATATAGATACGGTTCAATCACAAGCTAAAAATTCAATTTCAATCTCTTCCATCACCATTTTACTACAATATAAGCTGCACAGTGCGCATGATTTAGTTCAACATTTTTGAGTGTGCTGTTCAAACTACACAATTTTCAGGTGCGCTTTGGAGAGTACAGCGCTGTTACCTGTTGAGTGGAAAGTTTGAGATTGTTTGCACGTAGCTTTACAAAAGGTGTCCCAGAAGAAAGGTAATCCAACTTTAAGTCGCTTGTGTACAAACACGAACGTAAAGTTTTCAATGTCATATATACGAGTGTTTTGCTTCAGTCTGTAATGTTGTTTGTCATATAAGCGAAATTGGATGCTATTTTTTCACCTCTGCGTCAAGTTGGACAAAAGATAAATTCATTAATAAGAAGGACCAAAAAACCTTAAATTATTCGGCATCAGTCAAAGCGAAGAATTGCGCGCAATATTACCCATGATCAAAACAAAATGGAGTCAACAATACACGAGGATGTCCTCCGATCCGAAGAAGATACAAAAGCAGAAAGTGCGATTATAGTCCCAGTAAAGAGATTTTGTTGGGATAACAGCAGGGGCGGATCCAGCTTCAGGGCTGACCATGGCCCTGTGCCATAGCGAGCGCCTTAGGCGCAAGACAACGCTAAGGGGATCTGGAGGCATGTTCTCCCAGAAAATTTTGAAATCTAGACTCTCGGAAAAGCGAATTCCGGCATTTTTAATGTAGAATATAACAATATTTTAGTTATAATCTCATCTAAAAAAAATTCTAATGTCGCTAGGATGTTTGACTTGATTGTCTTCAGCTTCTTTTGTTTGGCAAATTTGTTTCACCAGAAGACTGTCTAAGCTACTTTGCTTTCGTTTTGCAATTTCCGTCTGTTTTTTGGTGGATGTAGCTTCTTTTGAAGAGGACGGAGCAGAAAAAACTTTAGGAGCCGAGGGAACTTTATGATATATTGGCATAGCTGACTTTAATAAGGTTGGAAAGTGTGTTTTAAAATAATGGTCTCCAAGCTGAAGTGCCCCAATTGGTTTGCACAAAGTAACAAAATGATTTTGGGTGGATGGGATTTTTTGATCTACCAAATAAGAAGGTGGCATCGCAGCACAACAAAAGATATGGACATAGTCAATTGCACTCCCGTCAACAAAATCTCTTGGATATATTGTACAATTGAACATTTTAGCCAACTAATCCCAATTTCCTTTCACTTCAGCATCATTAGTAATTGGGTAGTATGACTGAATAGCACACTGGATTACTGTGGAAGAAGGAAACATACACATCAAGGATGAAAAGGTGTAATTATTCGCTGTTCCCACTGTTTCTTGTAAAACTGCTGCAATTTCATTCACATTTTCTAAAGAGGTTAGAGCTGCATCGGATATACACATGGCAAAGGCATTTTTAAGTGAAGTGAATGCACTATTTTTATGCTGGGACTCAATGAGAGGATGGGTAGAATAGTATTTTGCATTCTCAAACATTTCAACAATAGTTAGAAATCTCAAGTAAATAGAGAGAGTCTCATTCCCAACTAATGCAATAGAACATGCATTGAACAGACAATTCCCATTGGCTAAAGTACTAAAAGAAAAATTAGTATTTAATTATCAATGGCTGCTTTGTTATACCAAGTTATACCTGGAAACAAATCTGCTAGACTGAAACAAATCTGACATTAGAATAAATAAGGGTAACCAATACTGTTAAAGATAGACTAATAATATTGAAATTGAGAAAGTTATTTTGTCTTTGTGTTAATTTGGTAACATCATGATAAAGTCAAAGTCACAGGCAGGTAGTCTAAGATTTGGAACTAGACTAGGCATATCGAACAGGATTCAGACGACTTATTGAATCCATCTACTATAGCATCAATATTCTATATAACCCGCGAAAGAAAATAACAGTTATTCAAAATGATATGTTAGTTTCTTTAACCAGGGGATAACATAAAATGCCAGGAATACAAGGATAATACATTATTGATTGGGTTGAATTTTAAAAAGGACTAGCTTTGTCTAATATTGAAGTAAAACATTTTTTTTAACAGACAGTAACAATTAAAATTATTTAGGCCGTACATTAGACAGACTGAGTATGCAAAATAATGACAGCTTCAGACATATATTTTACATGATACACTAAATATGAATAGCTGAAAATTAACAGATTGATCATATATTTCAGGCCAAGATGTCAAACGTAAATAAAAATATAAATTAATACCCCAATACATGTAAATTCTTACCTAACAGGTACATTGGGTCCTGATCTTTCAATTTGGCTTTCAGGGAACTGCAGTTTTGAAAATGAACAAGTTCGTAGCGTAATATCGCCAGTAGAATTTATACGACGAAGCCTTTCCTCGTTGATTATTTTACCACAGTGTTGTCTCAAGTTAGACAATTCACCAGAAATAATTTCGCAAGCGTTCTCTTGCTGAAAGATTTGGACGAGCTTTTCAAGAACATCGAACTTTTTAGAAGTTTCCATTGATCCTAATCGCTGAGTAGAACTAGAAGTAGCGTTTTTTCAAGTCGACAAGAATCGAGCTATTGCATATGACTTGTATTTTTGCGCAATCAAAATACATTCACCGTGGCTCACCGTGGCGTACATGACCAAAACGTTCCCTGTGATTGGCTTGCAACGCTGCACCGTGGCTAAAGGCTAATATATTTAGCAATTATTGCGAAATTTTTCTAACGCTGACCGTGGCATTTCATTCTGAGATTGCAGGTTCGAATTTACGAACATATTCCACATATTCCGAGCATATTCATGGCGTATTCGGCAAGATTCGAGACGCTTTCGGTGATTTTACAGTTCAGAGTTTAACTGGATGATAATACTATTTTAACAAGACGTTTGATTTGAAGTTTTCGTTCTGTTAACACAAATTATTGACAAAAATTACAAAATTCATTCAATTTTTGCTTTTGATCGAATTTTGCTGTATTTGAGCAAAATTTTTAATCATGAAAAAGTCAACCCTGTAAAAACTTAAGTGGCAGAATTCTGATCGTGGCTCAAGCTACTTTCGCCATGGCCTAGATCCGCCCCTGAACAGCAAAGTTGACCATCTCTTAGGAAGTTTGAGCAATTATAAGACGCTTATGCAGCTTTAGAATAGTGTTTTTATGCAGATAAAGTAAAGCAAACGACTCAGTTTACCATACTTCCTTTGTCTTTCCCATTTACTCTTTTTATTGAACAATTATGCTCTTAGCATCAACGTTTGCCTCTGTTTTAAATGTTTATAGGCAATGACCATACTAAAATATTGTAGTATAAGTGTTATCACAAATATCACCATCGCAAGTTGATGAGCATCGAACATTACA